CAGCAGGAAAATAATTACAATTATGGATAGTTGATATGAAAAAAATCATTGCTGCTAAACATAAATAATAGCAGAAAAGACTGCAACTTATATTATAAAGGGAAATTTACCTACATACCACACAATTCTAATGTAATATTTGCATATCTAACACCCAAAGTTTAATATTTACAGTTATAACAACTTGGTGTCATAAACCTATGCATGAAAAAGGTGTACTTCACTTTTAAAATTGTAGTAATGGTGATATTTTTCATATGATGTTAAAGAATTAAAAGGCGTGCATTTAAAAATGAATGTTTAGGTAGTAGATATGTAAATACATAAGAATTATGTGGTGTGTATGTAAATTTCTCTATTATAAAACAGCTATGCCAACCAATAAGCAACCTTCTTTCCTAACTTGATACAGCACAATGGCATCTAACGCACTAAAACAAGGAAAACATTCACAGAACTTTTCTCCTGATTACTGTGTGGTTTGAAGGATAGATAAGGAAGAAGATGAGTGCAGAAGACGAAGCAAGTTGGTTTAACCATGCTACCTAGCAAACTTGTCATCAGAAGATAGGATGAGATAACTAAAAATAACGTTAATGTGCGCGGGAAAGGAAAATTTGACAGCTGAAGATATTGATGTAAGCAAGGGTACAAATGCAGGATGCGTTGAAAAGGAAGTTGATGAGACCAGAATATGAGGTCAAATGGGAAGAAAGAAAACATACATGAGCTCCCATAAGAAGCTACAAAGGTTTGTAAAGCCTTGCATTAGATTACGTAGTAATACCCAATATTTTAAAATCGGACCGGACTGACCGGTTCAACCATGAATCAGGCATACAGATGTTCCGGATAACATTAAGAACTGTTTCCGTACCAAACTGGAAAAACCCAGTCTGAATCGCCGGTCAAACCGGCGAACTGCTCCACTGATACCGATTATGTAAAATGAGTTGATCCAAATAACATTTTAATCAACTCTAATTCTAAATCAAATGGTTAAAATTTTTCCTATAAAATTAAATTCTATAGATTAAGTTACATTAAACTCACAATCATAGATTTAAAAACCCAAAATCCAATTAATCTTGAGCTCAAACAACTTACTCCATAGTATACCTAACACCTAGGTGACTTAGAAGCTCAAGTTACAAAATTAGTTTTTTCTATATATATATATATATATATATATGATACAATATATAGACGTTAGGATATGTCGATTTCTTTTTGCCAGGGTTTCACCATCATGGCAAAACCTGGTCTCCTCGTCGATTGTAGTTCGTCGTATATCTTCTCCATCACGCTTCATCCGCTTCATTTGGCGTTGATTTCTTCGTCGCGCACTGTTACGCGCGTTTGTCAGCCCTGCGGTCGCGCTTCTGCGGCTCCCGTCCTTCACGCACTGTCACGCTCGAATTGTCGCGCGTCTGTCAGCTGTGCCTCGCTCCCGGCTTCGTTCGACTCTCCCGACTTCTTCGTCGCGAGTCCTCAGTTGCGCTCACTCGTCAGAGTTCACGGTTGCATGCGTTGTTTGTGCCGACCGACAGTTGGCTGAAGAAATGGCTTCTGAACGTTCCTACGTCGCCGCCCTCGCCAGTGATAACCCCGTCTCCGCTCCTCTTTCGAATATGTTTCCACAACGATACCACAATAATTTTTCTCTTGGCATTGAAACCGAATTTCTCAAAAAAGCTTCCGTAAAAATGGCAAACCTGCAATCTTTCTCACTGAGGCTGAGATCTCCACCCTAGCTGCGCCATGCCGACTGTTCTTAGTAGGTAAGTTTCTTTATGGAAATCCTAAACTTGAGCTAATTCGAAAGAACTTTGAGCAAATGAAGTTGAAAGGGGGTTGGAAGATCAATAAATTGGATAGTCGCCACATTCTTATTAATTATCAAATGACAAAGACTACACCGATTTATTTGCGAGAAGACTTTTTCGAATAAAAAACCAGGTGATGAAGGTTTTAAAATGGACGGTGGATTTTGACCCCCGTACTGAACCTCCTACCATTCTTGTTTGGTTGCACTTCCCAGGTTTGAAGATCCACCTTTTTTATCAAGAGCTTATTTTCGCTTTAGCGATGGTATACGGTAAACCCCTCAAAGCCGACACGCCTACCTCAAACGGTAAACCCCTCAAAGCCGACACGCCTACAGTGAATTTGACTCGGCCTTCAGAAGCCAAAATTTTGATAGAAATGGATACTATTTTACCTTTTTCCGGGAGGAATATGTATTGGCACACAACATCAGGGATTTTGGCAGCAAGCAGAACTTAAACAGATACCACTTTATTGTATTCACTGTCGTATGTTTGGACATTCTCCTTCTCAATGTTATCAGTTGCATCCGAATTTAAAACATTCAAGTAAAAACGCATCTGAATCTGCCCCACCTCATACATGTCCCTCCTCCGCTCTTGAGTGTATTCCACAGACTATTGGAACACTGGTTGAAACGATGTCACCTCCCCCTCCCACTACCGGAGACAATACTGTTGTTTGTCTTTGTCCTTCCGACTGATATATTGGCAGATGGTTTACTTGGGTCCAATAATCAGGATAGTATTGAAGCTCCACATCCCCAACATGCATCAGGTGTTGAAGAGACATGCTTACCATCTCTTCAGAATTAGAATGTTGTTAATGTTAATCAGAAGCTGGGGGCTTATTCTCTCCTACATACCCAACAATCTGTTGACCACACCGATCAGATGAGTCAGTCCTCGGATAAGGAATGACAAGGTATACACATCTAGAAAGAAAAAGAAGAATGGAGGCACACGCCAGCTTGGGAACTTAATGGATGATAATCTAGTAACTTCGGGAAATGGAACGACACAACAATTTGTTAGCTATCTCCGCTCCTAGAACCATAAGCAGAGGCAAGACCAAGTTGGCTCGTGCCTAGCAGCTTATTTCCTTCAAGTTTTGTTTTTTTGTGTTTTATCTATGTTTCATCCTTTTAGGATGCTAGTTGGACTTAAAATCTGTGAAGACTGAAGTTTTAAGTGGGCGGTGCGCCGTAAAATTTGGCTTTGGAAATAGTAAATGTGCTATATGGGATGTGAAAAAATAGTAGTAAAGATTTAATTTTTATACTCTTGTATATTATGAACTTTTTATTTTATCAGTTATTATAAATTACACTATAATTACAAATTACATTCCGATGATAAATTATTTTTTCATTTATATATCCCTATTATAATTTTTAAAATTTTCAAATAAATCTAGTAATACATGCATGCATGCATACATGTACATAGATATATGTATATGCATGTATGTATGTATGTATGTATATATGTATGTATGTATGTATGTATATATATATGTATGTA